TTTCTGTGTGTAAAAAGAAAAGAAATCTGAATTCATTAGTGGATCCAGAAGTGAATTAAAATCTCCAGCAACTCCCATCTCATCAAATTGGACACACACCCCCCCCAATGTTATCAACACATTTTTGACTAAAATGAGGTTAATCTTGGGTTGGGCCATAAAAATGATTCATGCCATCTGAGAGTCTATTCGTTTACCTACTAAAAGTAATCTATACAAAGTTGAAGTTTTTTCAATAAAATGCCGTATTGAAACTTTTCAATTTCCACTTATTTAAAAAAGGTTCATCCATTTTCTTCCTGAAATATTTTTTCTCATCCAGAATTTTCATTCTTTGTTCAAACAGTCAAGATTTTCACTTTGTAAAGCCACCGACTTTTTAAAGATAAATATAGGAATATTTAATCTTCAACCCCCAATTAGGTCAATTAAGCAAAATTTCAAAAGTCCTTGGAGTTGAGATTGAGAGGCGGAGGGGGAATCGCTGGTGGGTCATTCCATGTCAAGTTCAGAAAAGAGCCAAGCTTGACCATCATGGATTTTGATGAAATTTGGTGTGAATATGCACATCTATAATGAACATTGGTAAAGTGTTCATTGGCTAATTCAATGCTTGTGGAGATATAGACAGGGAGGCGTTGAGAGAGGCCTTTCTCCCCCCCTTCCTGACTGTGGCAGGACATAAAGTGAGATTTGGACGTAAGAGTGAGATGATACAGGGCTGGACCGGAGGACCTCTGGGGTTCCTTCCAACTCTGCTGTTGTAAAGTCAAAGGCGTTTTCTGAGTCTTGTAGAAAAACAGGCAGCTTCAACGTCAAACAGGCAAAAGCGAAGATCCCTTGTAAGCACTTCAGCAAGTCGGCTGGGATCAAATCGTGATCTGCTTTTCTAACATAGCAACAGCCTAAATTATGTGACCAATGAGCGCCGGCCTAGCATATTCCCGTGTTTTACTGCTTGGAGGAACTTTGTTCAGAGAGTCAAATGGCTTCTCTTGGCTAAACTATTCTGAACCTTTGGCACCAAAGAAAACTTCCCTCGATCCCGAAGTCCGAGTCCCGTGATTTTCTGCAACACTACTCCCATGCCCATCATCCCCACCCTCTCCCTTCCCCCTCCCCTGCACGTCCTTTCTACGCCCATGGCACTTTGCCCCAAATCCTCCAGGGGGCGCCCTCTGCCAAGGGAAAGGGAACTCCAGGCGCTTCCCCATTGACCCACTGGAGGGAGACCGTCACGGCTGGCTTATCAGAGGAGGCGGCGAAGGAAGTGATGTCACTGAGCCTTGCCACTCTAGGACGCCGCACTCGCTCTTTTTAACCCGTGGGGCTCCGCAGGAGGCGGAGAGGCTGCGAGAGAGTGTGGGTGAGGTTCTTCCTGGGTCCCATGTTCCCCAGCCGCCCTCTTTCTGCAGGGGAAGCGGGGAAGGCGGAGGGGATCCGGGGAAGAGCCCGAGTGGAGGGAGCAGAGGGTCCGCCTTGCGGAGGCCCAGCAGGAGAGGAGGGAAGCCGGGCGAGGAGGCAGGATTCGCACCAGGCTCCCCGAGGGCCCGATCCTGTCTCCGGAGGGGGAGAGAAGCGGGGCGGCCTCTCCAGCTGCCTCCTTCCCGGCCCTGCGCT